GATTGTCTCCAAACCAAGTGCATTAGAAAGCTGGTTAGCTCCTCTATGTTGTCTCAAATTTTGGGGGTGATCAGACGGTGAGAAGATCTTCATCGCTTGTCATACTTCTGACGGTCTGCATTTATCCAAAATTGCTCATTTGTTCCAAATTGCATATCTTTTGCCCAAGTTTCCTGTAAAGTCTTTTGAAACTCCAAAAAATTGAAAACACTTTAAAAACCATTGAAAACAGAGTTAAAATACCTGCATAAGACATAATTATGATCCATAAAAGTGGTCAAAATACGGTGTTATCAAAGATCTCATCCCATACAGATGTCCTCTGGAGAATACCCAATTCCTTGTGCACCCAATTTAAGAGGAGGAAATCAAGTCTGTTCTCTTCACTATGCCATCGAACAAGACCTGGGGACCTGATGGATTCACAGCAGAATTTTATATTGCAGCCTGGTCGATCATCTCAGCAGACTTTGTAGTTGCAGTGCAATACTATTTCATTTATGGGTTCATGCCAAATGGAGTTAATGCTACAATGCTATGTCTGGCGCCAAAAACGACTGATGCTCGAACCATCTGAGATTACCGTCTTATTTCTTGTTGTAACTTGATCTACAAAGTCATTTCCAATATTATTGCCAATAGACTCAAGACTATTCTTCCTGAGGGTATGGTTCCAAACCTAAGTGCGTTTATTAAGGGTTGGTTGCTGCTTGAGAATGTGCTCCTTGCTACTGAGCTGACTAAGGATTACCATACAGACTCGATCACAGCTTGTTGTGCGCTTAAGCTGAACATTGATAAAGCTTTCAATACAGTACGATGGGATTTTATTATCCACACTCTTCGAGCCATGGGTCTTCAGAATATCTTTATTATGTGGGTGGAGAATTGTATTTCTACGGCCGCTTTTTCGGTTATGGTTAATGGAGAACTTGAGGGTTTTTTCAGTAGCTCCCGTGGATTGAGACAAGGATGCTTCTTATCCCCTTATTTGTTTGTCATCGCAATCAATGTCTTATCTCTATTGCTCAATAAGGCTGCTCGAGAGGGTAAGATTGGTTTTCACCCCCACTGCCGTGAACTCTAGCTAACGCACTTGAGTTTCGCAGATGATATGCTTGTTTTCATGGACGAATCAGCTGGGTCTCTCAGAGGAATGATTGAGATTCTGAACATGTTTAAGGAAGAATCAGGGCTGGCAATTAATGTTGCGAAGTCATCTCTATTTGTTGCGGGGAAAACATCCTCAGCGCTGATTCAAACAGCAACTGACTTGGGGTTCCTGCTGCAGCAGCTTCCTATCCGTTATTCGGGGCTCCCTTTGACCACCAAGAGTATGGACTAGATTGGACTATGAACCCTTGATAGACAAGATCAGAAAGCGTATGATCACTTGGTCAAGTGCTTCACTCTCATTCGCTGGCCACTTTCAGCTCATTCACATTGTCTTTACAAGCATTACAAACTTTAGGTGTGCTGCATTTCGTCTCTTGCAACGCTGTCTTGATACAATTGAAAGTGCGCTGCATTCTTATGGTCGGGATCCCCTCATATCACCACCAAAGCAAAAGTTGCATGGGCTGATGTCTGTAGACCAAAGCAAGAAGGTGGATTGGGTATTCGTAGACTGAAAGACTCGTCTCGTGTTTTCTCATTGAAGTTGATTTGGATGTTATTTGCGAATACAGGCTCTCTATGGGTGGCTTGGACTAGACAGTATCTCCTTCGTCATTCCTCTTTCTGGGATGATTGTGAGGGTACTCGAGGTTCTTGGATTTGGAGAAAACTTCTAAAGCTTCGACTTCTCATTGCACAATATATTCGTCATCAGATCGGGAACGGGAATTCTACTTCTTTCTGGTTTGATGATTGTCTGAGCATGGGGAGACTTATTGATATAACTGGGGAGTCTGGAACTCGCACTTTGGGAATTCCCCTTCAAGCTCCGGTATCTGCAGCTGCGACTAATGGGATCTAGACCATTCATCGATGTCGTGCGCAGAACCTCCAGCAGCTAGTGACATGCATTCGATCATCTCCAGCCCCGTCATCCCTAGCTGTCCAGACACTGTTCTATGGCGTCATGGATATACAGAATTTAAAAATCATTTCTCATCTAGAGCCACTTGGGAGCAAATCCGTGAGCACTGTCCAGCAGTCTGGTGGAGTAAGTTGGTGTGGTTCTCGCAAAAAATACCTCGTCAGGCATTTATAACGTGGCTGGCATTCCTTGACAAGCTCGCCACAGGAAATTGTATAGCTCAGTGGGGACAAGCTCAATCATGTCTGCTTTGTGGTGAAATCAACAAGACAAGAGATCATTTGTTTTTTGCGTGCCCCTACACCTTCACAGTCTGGAATTGGCTCACCTCTGATCTTCTCCAAAATCGCACAGATCCGGGTGATTACCACTCGCTCCATCTCTCAGATTTGGAGAAATCATCCTGACTCAATCCTTGCACGGTTGGTGTTTCAAGCTACACTAGACAATGTCTGGCGTGAGCGAAACTAAAGACGTCATCAACGACCTCCTCGTACTGCTCTAATTTTCAGTATTGCTAAAGACATCAGTTACCGCTTGAACTCACTGCCCTCAGCACCAGACGAAGAAAACTCAGCCTTATTGACCCGATGGAACATTGTTCGCAGTTATCCTCTTCAATGAAGGCAACCCAGTCGAACTTTAGTTTATAGTTTTTCATTCTCAAATTTTATTCCTCTGTTCTATGTCTGTGCGCTATTTTATGCCCAGACAACCACTCTGTAAATACCTTTTTTTTTTTGCTTAATTTATATCACATTTCAGCAAAAAAAAAAAAAAATACTATTCTAAATTATTGAATACTTAAACAATGATATTTAATCCAGCGAATTTTCTTACCAAAAGCATCTTGAACATGCTGGTGCGTCGCTTCCCTTGATATATATTTGACTGGCTACATTTGATATACAGTAAAATCTCTATAAATTAATACTCGATAAATTAATAATCACTATAAACTAATAAATTTTGTTGGTCTTAAGTCGAGCTAATGTAAAAATCCATCAAATTCGATAAGATAATAAGATAATAATTTTTTTTGAAACCCTTATATAAATTTATGGTCCCAACAAAAACATAAATTAATAATGATATAAATTTATGCAATTATATATAGATACAATATTCTAAAATATGACTAATGTGTTTATTTTTACTTAAATTTGAAATCTCATTGGTTCTTATCTCTCTAATTATTATATCAGTAGCTTTTATTGCTCTTTTACTATATACATTCAATATTTATGATGATTTTTTGACGTGATAATTGATTTTCTTACCTTTAAATGTTTTTAAATGTATTGTAGTGTATCTTCAATTTTATCATCAGTAATATTGATAGCAGCCATGATTTTTTTATAAATTTTAAATTTATGAACATGTATATTTTTACATGGACAATCCAATATGGTGTTAAAAACTATTTTATTGTGATAGTTATGATTCTTAATCATAATTTATATAATGAGATTTGTTAAAATTTCAAAATATAACATTAATACAAAGAAAGTTTTAGAAAATTATATGCGAAAAGTAAATTTTCTCTATAAATTAATAATTATTAATTTATAGTTAAATTAATATCACGATAAACTAATAAATTATTATGGTCCCAACATTATTAATTTATAGAGGTTTTACTGTAATTGAATTAAGTTTGATCTGGTATACCCAATGTTTTAAAATGTATTTCAGGCAGCCGCTTAGGCGATGCGTATTTATAAACCATGGTGATTATCTCCTATGAGTTGGCAATAAGCATTATTGTTATTAAGCGATTTTCGTGGTCTTATTGAAGGTTCAACAAAATCATTAATTAGTAACATTTACTTTTATTTTGGCTGGTGTAGTTTTTGAAATTTGAAGTACATATCATCATATTTATAAGTTTTAATTTCATAAATACATGGTTATAATATTTATAGGTTGTTTGTATAAATAGAAAAAAATGTTTTATCTAATTTTCATTTTTTTCCAATTATTACATCACATGTCTAGTTAGAGAAATGGTCCACGAACCATGCTCGACCGGCTCAGTATGATTGATTTGGAAAAAAAAACAAAAAATCATCGTTCGAGCTTTTTTGTAAGACTATCCGCCCGGATCCGAATATCCGAACTGGAACCGAACCGAAATGGAGGTACCGAATCCGAACCGAAATTTTTAAAAATATCCGATGGATCTTAAACTCTTATACCCGAAAAACCGGAACCGAACTAGTACCGAACCGAAAACCGATTGGGTACCCAAATTATCCAAAGTATAATTATATATCCTTCTAAATATTAGTTTTTTTTTTGATATTTTTGATATTTGGTATATCTTTCTGGTTTTACAGATATATTTTCTTTATTTTTGGGACTTTTGGGTATATTTTTAAGTTTTGTTATATATATTTTTGAATTTTTGTTATTAAAAAAATGTGAGTCGATTAAAAATTTGAGGCAAAAGATCCGGATCCAATTATCCGAACCGGAACCGAACCGAAATAAAGGTATCGAACCCGAACCGAAATTTATAAAAATACCTGATGGATCCTAATTTCCTCTACCCAAAATATCCAGAACCGATTGGTTCTGAACAGAAACCGAACAGAATATCCGAATGCTCAGGCCTACAAGTAGCAGTCATTGTAAAAACTAATTAGGGTTTACACAATTTTTAGGCAGTTTAAATGTTTACAATATAAATCAATATATCAAACATTGGGTATACCAAACAATAATTTTCCAAGATATGATTAATAATAATATAGAAATGTTGATGTGCAGTCCAAAAAAAAAAAATGTTGATGCGTTGCTTCCCTACTTGTTCCGTTTAAAAAATAATAAGTTTGATTTGGTACACCATATACCAAACAACCACATGGCATAATTAATAATAGTTACGATGCCCACGATGCCCACAAAAGCCTGTCCGATAAATTATATAGAAGAGAGTCCAAGTGAAATTACTTTCCTCAACGATGGCGTATAACGTGATCAAGATCTCTCGAGTCGGCCCTGCAACAGATCTGGTCGACCCGCTCATTCTCCCACTCACTTTCTTCGATTTAGTGTGGCTAAAAGACATTCCTACGAACCGAATCATCTTCTACAAACTCACTGAGTCATCTCCCGACTCCTTCTACTCCGTGATCCTCCCCAAGCTCGAGCGTTCCCTTTCCCTTGTCCTCGCACACTTTCTCCCTCTCTCCGGTCACCTCAAGTGGAACCCACAAGATCCTAAGCCGCACATCGTCATCTTACCGCAAGACACTGTCTCTCTCACAGTGGCCGAGACGGACGCCGATTTCTCTCATGTTTCCGGCAAAGGGCTCCGTCACCAGCCTGAGTTACGCGCTCTAGCGCCGGAGTTACTGGTATCTTCTGACTCACCCTCTATTCTTGCTCTGAAGATCACTTTGTTCCCGAAACAAGGCTTTTGCATCGGAATCACAATCCACCATGCTGCCCTGGACGGCAACACAGTGGTAAAATTTATAAAATCTTGGGCTCACTTCTGTAAATACGGAACAATGCCCCAAGATTTGCAGCTACCAATGCTTTTAGATCGTACAGTCATCAATCTTCCAGCGGAACTCGAATCGAAGATCTTCCAACTCTCACAGTACAATGCCAACGAAAGAACTTTAAAGCTTTCTCCCACCAAAGAGATTGACGAAGATGTCGTTAGGATCACGCTCGAGCTGACTCAGGAAAACGTGAAGAAACTCGTAGAGCGAGCCAAGAGCGGGTCAACTCGATCCGATCTCCACTTGTCAACTTTCGTAGTCACCTACGCCTATGTATTGACCTGTATGGTGAAGGCACGTGGAGTTGACGAAGATCAACCAGTTCCATTTACTTACGTTGCTGATTTCAGAGAACGGTTAGACCCGCCGGTTCCTGTGACCTACTTTGGGAACTGTGCGTTACCTATCAATTTTTCTGGAGACAAAGCGAAGACGTTCTTGGGACAAGATGGATTCGTCAATGGTGTCAAGATTCTCGGAGATTCTGTTAGAGCACTGAGTTTGGGAGGAGCTGAGTCAATATGGGAGTTGTATGAGGAAGGATTAAAGAAGATGGAGCAAGGTATACAGAAGCTGTCGGTTGCTGGGTCTAACAAGTTTGGGATATACGGGTCGGATTTTGGGTGGGGAAGACCCGTTAGTACTGAGAATATATCTAACAGCTTAAACCTTCTGTTCTCTATGTCGGAGAGGAGGGATGAGACCGGTGGTGTGGAGATTGGGATTTGTTTGAAGAAGTGTGGGATGGATGTTTTTATTTCTGTGTTTCAAAATGGATTGTAAACTAAAAAAAAAATGGAATGATTAAAGGGGTTTTTGCTAAAAAATAACTTAAAATTTGACATTCAATACAAAAATAAACCCCCGAAAAAAACATTTGGCAAAAATAACTTGAAAGGTTAGTAAAAAGACCAAGATTACACTAAACAAAAACGGATGTCTTAATTACCGTTTACATCCTGACGAAATCTACTAAAGAGTGAATGCTTCATTCAAACGAAATGAAGTCTATTATGTAATTAAATCAGAAATTTTAATTTAAAATTAAAAAAAAAAATTATTTTGGTATCAAAATTACATTTATAAGCATATGTACAAAAATTATATTTTTATATTGATAAATAAAAATTTATGTTTTAAAATTATGAAGAAGAAAATCTATTTTTTTTAGGTTTTAAAATTAGTAAACTTCTATATTGAAGTGTGTTAAACCGAATAAATTAACTTAACCGAATAAATATTTATTTTAACTAGGAAAATCAAAAATAAGTATTTAACTGATACATAAACCAATATTAAACCAACAATTTTGAACCAGAATTGTTATTCTAACCAAAATTGTACCTCTCTATATAAAGGAAGAACCCACGATTTGTAACCTTAATTTTGTATAAAAAAAAACTTAAATCTCTCTCTAAACGGCGCTTCTCTAAAACGGTGTTTCTCCTGAGCTCACGCGACGTCTTCTCCAATGCTGATTCACGGTGGGACGAACCAACCGGTGAAGCTGTTGACGAAGTCATCTTCCTTAGCCGCCACACCGCCGCCTCGAATCACCCTGCTCTCACTATGAATCCGATTGGTATGCCAAAAATCCAAACTTTCTATCTGGGTTTTCTTCTTTTTCGGTTTCTGAAGGAAGTTTGTTGATGGTTGAAGGAGAGCTTCACTTAAAAGGAAAATTGCCGCCGCAATGAGGACGGCCAGGGTGGGCGGCGTTGGTAAACCCTAGGATTGGTTCATGGCTGCGTCTTTTGAAGAAAATCAGAATCTGATTAAAATGTAGTATGCGAAGTATGTATTGAGCTGGATTCCTTTAGATTTACAGAGAAATTTTGGTTGATGATTAAAGGTGAAAAGTCTATGTACCTGACTTTGTATCTGACCATAGTGGCCTGAATCTTTGGAGGATCTAGTTTGATTAAAGATTATATATATGCTACCTTTAATAGTCCTTCTGTATTTTGAAGATCTTGAGGTTTTACGTGTTATACTGTATTATACTGTATCTGATATTTTTATTTAATTTGGCATTTCCAGACTATTTACGAAGAGTATCTATGAAGGAAAATTAGGAGTTGGTGGACACGTAAAAAAACTTCAATTTTGATTTTCGTTAATCCAAATTTTGTCTTACTTCGTTGATGCTAATTTAATAAACTTAAGTAGCTGCTTGAGATTAATGAGAGTGCTAAAATGATTCTCTTGTCGATGGGTTACTGCAGTGTTTACTTTACATAATTGCTAAAAACGGAAGAAAAAGTGTTGTTTAGATAAGTAGGGGTTATTATAGTGGCAATCATGATTGGTTTTCAAACAAATCACTGTTGGTGGGTTTTATTGATGATATAATTATGTTTATTGATGAAATGAAACATGCGGATCGATGCAGGAATGAAGCTGAAGCCAAACCCCATCTGAGACCGAACCAGAGCAAGAAACCAAACCAGAACCAAGCCAGACCAAACCAGAGAAAAACAAGAGGAAATCTTTGTACCAGAAGGAAGCTTCAAGCCTGGACCTGATGTTAGTGATGACTAGCTTGTGAAGAAAATATAGTTTTGAATCATTTGTAATGGTCATAAAGTGTAATGGTCATCATAGTTTTATGGTCATTATAACGATCATGAACTCGTATATAGTTTAAGTCTAATGGTGATATACTATGTTATACAGATTTCTTGTTATTCTTGTTATAGTCATTAAGCAAAACAAAACTCAGGTCAGGCAGCAAAACAAAAATCAGTCACAATTCAAACAAAAAAAAAACAATTAAAATGATACACAATTCAAACTTAACTCAGGTCAGACATCCAAACACGTTTGTGAAGCAATAAACAAAAATATAGGTACATGCTAAAAGCTTAAAACCATCTTTTCATAGACTTCAACAATTATAAGGTAAAATAGTAATAGATGATACGGTTGGAAATTTTTGTAAGTTAAATAGAATAAAAAAATTAAACTATAATTATAATACATAAACATATTAAACTCATAAGTAATTTTGTAAAAAAAACATAAAAAATCACATTATCAAACGTAATTATAAAGCACAACGTATCAAACACATAAATATCAAAAAAAAATTTACACAGGAGACTTCGTTAGAAGACTTCTTTTGAAGATTTCGTTAGAAGACTTCTTTTGAAGACATCGTTAGAAGACTTCTTTTGAAGACTTCGTTAGAAGACTTCTTTTGAAGACTTCGTTAGAAGACTTCTTTTGAAGACTTTGTAGACTCCAAATGAAGTCTACTTTTACAAGTTAACTAGCTTATAAATCAAAAATTCTGATTCCGCAATAAATATCAAATGAAATGAAATGAAATTCACTGGGTAGTTCAATCACTTGCTAACAAGCATTTCTAAACCAAAAAATTGAAAAAATACTTTATAATTGTGCCTAAAATGCGTTTTTTAAAAAAATACAAATAGTAGACTTCTACAACAGACTTCAAACGTAAACTGGAGGAAGAAGTCTACTTTTTCCTATGGAAGTCTGCAAAAGAAGTCTACTTAAAAACATGTTATTTTTGCAATTGACCAAACCGTTGAATTTTCCTTCAGTAGACTTCAAAAGTAGACTTCCGACCAAAAATGTTATTTTAGCATTTGACCGAGCCATTGACTAGCAAAGTAGACTTCTATTGTAGACTTCAAGTAAGAGTAGACTTCTCTGACAGTCTACTTTTGAAGTTTACTTTTTCAATAGAAGTCTACATAAAAATTTAGGTTATTTTTGCAATTGACTCTCTTTAGTAGACTTCACAGAGAAGTCTACTAAAAAAAGGATTCCTTCTAAGTTTGACCAGAAAACAGAAGTAGACTTCCGCAAGAAGTCTACCGTTTTTAAACTTCTTTCTGAAGTCTACTGGAGTTTTCCAGAATTTTCTGTATTTTTTATTTTTTAAAAAAATTTAGTCAAACACTAAAATGACCTATACGTTTTTGGTCAAACAACAAAAGTAACTTAAAAGTAGACTTCTTGTGCAGACGTAAATAGTAGAATTTAGAAAGAAGTCTATATTAAAAATTCAAAATACGGTCAACTACAAAAATAACCTCTTCTCTTTCGTAGACTTCTTATGCCTTCAAACGAAGTCTACTAGGTTTTTTTTTGTTTTCAAAGGATATCGAGTAGACTTCTCGTGCAGTTTAATGAAGTCTACTTTTAAGAAGTCAATTGCAAAAATAACCTTATGTTGACTAGTAGACTTCATTTGAAGTCTACTTTCGCGATACAGATATAGATATTACCAAAATTGAAGTGTATCATTACCTATATCGGTTTTGAGTTTGTTTTTAGGTCTCTCATGCACCCAAAACTCTGAATTTGACCAAAAAAAACAACCCATGTCTTGATTAAGCTGAAATCACCAAAAATGCATAACCTTTGACATTGTAACTCAGCCCAAAAATTTTAGAGAAGAAATTAGGAAAGAATATAGAAGGTTATGAGTGTATGAGCTCTCATATTAACTTATTACAGCTTTAAAATTGGTTGAGAAGCATTTATTCTGTTTTTGGGGTTGTTCATGGTGGTTAAAGGTATTGAAGAAGATGACATTATTGCAATTAAAAAGGTTTTAGGAGGTCCAAGGAGACTTTAGCCAATATTTAAAAAAATCGAAATAATGGGTTTATAATGACATTTTCGTTAATATCTTGAGTGAGAATGATAGAATTGTGACAAAATGGCAAAAATTGGAGAGAAAAAAAAAGAAAGGTTAGTTTGGTGTTTGACTTTTATTTTCAGGTTAAATCTGAAACTCTCCCATGATTAAAAGGCCATAATTTTTTTTTATTTCTGTGTTTTATTAGACTAATAACTCATGGGATGCGTAATTTACTAGGTAACGGATTGATAATTTGATTAGATTTTTTTTTCTTTAGGTAAATTTTAAGATTCATACCAATTTTCTGTTTACATTGTTGCAGAGCAATTTATTACAAGTAATAAGAGAAGAAAGATAGAATAAGCAATTTTCTATTTTCCTGATAAGATTTGATGTTATTGAACTACATGTGATTCATGAGGTAGTCAGGATGTTAAGTGCCCTTGTCGCCATATACAATACTTAAAGAAGCAAGAAGGTTATTGGAAGAAGGTTGTGGTAGGTGAAGATTTGTCGCTAAGGAGTAATCAAATGGAATTTTTTAATCTCTACTGTCGATCTCGTCGTCTATTTTTTTTTAAAAAAATTGATTAGTGATTCACCAAATCCAAGCATATGGCTTACCTATGATCAAAGAGTCCTAAGCAATACAAAAATGGGGCCTTTATTTATATAATCTTCGATAATCATATTATTATGAACTAATAGACATCTATACTATTAAAAGGGAAGCACTTTTTATGTCTAAACAAAATTTTCTTAGTTTTCTACTATTTGTTTTTGGATAACTCCTTACTATATATGTTGCCAAATATAAATTTTTATTTGATTTATCTGTTTTATTTATTTCCAAAATAATATATTTGAATTTTATCTTTAGAATTAATTTCGAATTTTTTAAATATTAATTTAATTAGTTTAGATTTTCTTAGATATAATTGGGATTAATTCTCAAAATTATAAAATCAGTTGTTATTATTTTTATAAAATAATATTAAAATATTTATTTATTTTATATTTAAATATATAAATTTAAATAATATTCTCATAATGATAAAGATAAAGACAATCAATTATTTTAAAAAACTTAATATTTAAAATTGAAAAATATATTATATGATAATATGAATAAATGGGGTAAAATTATGTTTTTGTATTCATATTTTTTGGATTAATTATATTTTTATAATTGTGATCAAATTTTCAGAAAAATTAAATTTTAAAATAAATTTTATCTAAACATAAAAATAAATTTGTATCATTTATTAAAAAAAATATTATATCTATAAAAACATAAATTACACTATTAAATGAGATTAAAAAAAAATTCTCGTGCGGACGCACGAAATAAAATCTAGTATTAAATTATAAAAGAAGAAAAAATAAGTTTCAAACATATTTTTATATACATTAACCAACTAAATTTGTAAGAATAGGCTCCGGAAGCATTTTTATGTGGATACAATATAAACAATGATTATTATTAGACTAATAATTTGCCAATGCGTAATTTACTAGGAAACAATAAAAAATAATTTTATTTGATATTATTAGACTACATATGATTCATGTGGTAGTTAGGAGTTAACGTTATTTGTCGCCACTTAAAATAGTTAAATTAGCAAAAAGGTTAGTGGAAGAAGGTTGTGGTAGGTGAAGATTTGTTGCTGGAGAAAATCAAATGGGATTTTTTTATCCAAAAATGGGATTTGGTCAAACACAAATAGTTTTAATGACAAATAGTTTTAAGATATGGCATGACCTCAGCTAACATGTCTTCTTGGATTTTGAACATTTGATGGATAGGTCTGGTCTTGCACAGATCCTGGATAGTTGCTTTGATTTATCCATGAATTCCATCCAAAACTTTTTTTGCTTGCAGAGTTTGTCTAGTGTTTGGAAGACATATTGCTGTATTTGGCCAATGGAAATATATTCCACTGTCTGGGCTTGATCTCTGATGTATAGCTTTGTTTGTTGACTGAGGTAGTCATCAATCGAAGAGAGATGCATTTGCTTAAGGCTTGGATTGTTGAGACCATTAAGAGCGTAATAACGTCGCGTCTGTCGCTCAAAATGCTTAGCTAGGTCTCTTTTCTTCAATGAGCAGCATTTCGCAGTAAAGAATTCTTCTTGAAGCTGTTCTTTCAAATGTGTGGGTGTACCGATAAATTCTCTATGAATTTCTCCGAGAAGTAGCGGTATTGTCGTTTGATAGACTTGCTGCTGTCTGTATTCACCAAGTGAATTCCACCATTCTTTGAGTGCTCCAGATAGTCGGGTCGTAAACTGCTGAATCACAAGCTCTAAGGGAGACGTGATTGCTTCAGAATTC